AATTGGGCTTTGGGTGTGTGTATAAAAACTCAGCCCCTGATTCCTGGACCTTGTACATGTGATCCAGACGCTTATTAGAGACATTAATGGAGGCTGGACGAGTCCAAAAGTCCTTGGTAGTTTGCAAGAGAACTTTTGTCATTGGTAGAGCCACGGAGGGCGAAGTGTTAGAGTGCATAATGTCAAAAACGTTATCATCCACAAAACTGGCAACGAGAGTAGGAGTCATAGATAGATCTAATGCCATGCGTTGAATAAAATCTCCATAAGACTTAACATCCTCTGATGGAGAAATAGGTAAATCCGCTTCCACATCTTGCGAGGTGGGCTGTGCATCTACATCCTCGATATGTTCAGAAAAGCCATCTGAATCGGAGGATACATTGGATGGTTCTGGAGATGATTCGAGTAATTCAGGTTGAGACGGTGCCGGTGTGTTAATCGGGGGCACAACCGGGTCTGGTGGATGCGTCGGTATCGACTGCTTCGATACCGATGGTCGATCTTGAAAGCGCGAAATGCGGGATGACACCGACTGACGATCCCATTCAGGTGGGGGTGGTATCGGGAGTGCCCAAGGGTATGGGTATCGCTTCCCGTACAAATAATGCCATTGCCTCTCATCCCAAGTCAGGGGAGGAGAAGTTGGTCGGTGCCGATCCTCGACTCCACGTTCTGGGGAGGCATGAGAGGATTGACGGCTCGACATATCAGATTGCGACTGATTTGTCTGTTGAGTAAGGTCGATGTCGAGATCCGAACCGATCGGGTGAGGTTCTTGCGTGGGATCTCGACCCTGACTAGCCGAAACCTTATGGACTTTGGGTTTGTCCGTTTTAGGTTTCTTCGACTGCTGTGAGTCTTTGCCCTGCTTCCGGATCTTGGAAGGTACGGGGTGGTCCTTTATCGGCGTCGATCGTTTCGGTGCCGAAGCATCGATTGCGACCGTCGACGTCGATGATCCCGGAACGGGAGGACAAGTGTCCGCAGCCAAGGTGGACATCGAGGCGTGCCCGGACGTGTCCAACGGTGAAGAGGACTGTGGAGATAGTGCCTTCTCCATCAGGGCCAAGTGTAGACGAGCTGCCCTGTTTTTTCTCGTCTGGTTCGAGAACTTTCGGCAATGTCTGCACTTAGAGACACAGTGCGACTCCCCTAAACAAACGAGGCAAAGCGAGTGCCCGTCGGTGGGGGATATTTTAAGGCCGCAAGTCCTACACCGTTTGAAACAACCCCACCGCGGGGACATAGGCCAGCGGGAGCACAGAGACCACGAAGAAGATCCCTAATTGTCTGGCCTACCTGGAGAGCATCCAGAGAAGTGTATATTTATGTGTATATAAACTTTAGTCCAGTTATTTATTTCGTATATTTATATGCTGCTTCTCTGGAGTCCAGATCCACAGCAACTGGCAGCCAGGAAAGTTCACGCGCAGTTCATGAGTAGTTTATACTTGAGCGTATCCCAGGCTGTTTCAAGACAGATGCTTTTCCGAATATCAGTGCCGGACAAATGCAAGCCGTGGCAAAGATGGTCCCTGTTGGCGATACCCACTGACAGAAAAGGCAGACTAGATACGCAGTGAAGCACACGCAAAAGGTACATAAGAACATAAGAGAAGACGATGCTGGATCAGGCCAATGGCCCATCCAGTCGAACACTCTGTCACACAGTGGCCAAAAATACCAGGTGCCATCAGGAGGTCCACAAGGGGGGCCAGGACACTAGAAGCCCTCCGACAGTTGCCCTCCCCCCCAAGCACCAAGAATACAGAGCATCACCTGCCTTAGACCGAGAGTTCCTATTTATACCTTGTGGCTAATAGCCACTGATGGTGTGACTGCTGCCCCAAATCCTCTTTCCTTTGGCATCTTCCCTATCCAGTTTTTGTAGAGTGTGCTAGGATCCAAAATTCCTCTCCAATAAACTCATCAGAAAGGGACTCTACGCTAACTTACCTTAAAATTTCCATGAAGGCTGTTACCAGAATATTGCCAAAGGGGTATGCCATATTAATAACTCTAAATCACTGCTATTCTTAGCATAGCCAGTTCAGCATTCTCTCTGTGTGTGTACACAAACACACACAGGGATATATCTATAAAGTTCTTGCTTCTTTGGCAGTTTACAAAAACTCAGTGAATACACAGATTCATTTTCAGCCTCAGAGCTTATGGAATAAGGATGGAAAATACCCAAGAAAGAGGAAACCAGTGGATATCTCAGAAGTAATTGTGAGTTACATGTGAATAAATCTTGGCAAAGTCATTTCTTTGTAAGACACAGCGTATAGGAGAGAAGTCTGGGTAATTATAATGGCATGCATTTATGTCTAGGGTGTGTGCATACAATTTAGTGTATGCACATTATATTTACTTGCTTACGCGGGCAAACACATGAACTCATGAATAAAAAAGGCCAACGCTATGATGGGGATTATTAGGAAGGGAATTGAAAACATATCAGCCAGTATCATAATGCCCCGTATAAATTGATGGTGTAATCTCATTTGGAATACTGTGTACAGTTCTGGTCAACACACCTCAAAAAGGATGTTATAGCATTGGGAAAAGTGCAGAAAAGGACAACTAGAATGATAAAAGGGTTGGAACACTTTCCCTATGAAGAAAAGTTAAAGCACTTGGGGCTCTTTAACTTGGAGAAATGATGACTGAGGGATGACATGATCAAGGTTTACAAGATTATGCATGGGATAGCGTAGGTACAGAAAGAATTAGATAAATATATGGTCCATCAGTGGCTATTAGCCAAAAGGTATAGATAGAAACTCTCAGTCTGGGGCAAGTGATGCTCTGTATTCTTGGTGCTTTGGGGGGGGGGCAACAGTGGGAGGGCTTCTAGTGTCCTGGCCCCACTGGTGGACCTCCTGATGGCACCTGGTATTTTTGGCCACTGTGTGACAGAGTGCTGGACTGGATGGGCCATTGGCCTGATCCAACATTGGCTTCTCTTATGTTTTTAGGGCTATCAACCTACAGGTGGCACCTGGAGATCTCCTGCTATTACAAGCGAACTCCAGGCAATAGAGAAAAGTTCCCCTTGAGAAATTGGCTGCTTTGGAGAGTTCACCCTATGGCATTATAGCCTTCTGAGGCTCCTCCCCTCCCCAAACTCTGCCCTCTCCATGCTCCACCCCCAAAATCTCCAGGTATTTCCCAACCTACAGCTGGCATCCCTGTGTATGCTTATAATACAACTGTTGCATGCACTGATCGCACTACTATATGCTCATTAATTTTGTCTAAGAGGTTTTTTCTCATAGCCCAATGCACATCGTATGTTATATATGGATGGATGCTGGCTGGAAGGCAAAGATACAGGCTGGGATCCAAATAACCATTCTGGGCATGCCCAAGGGCTCGGGTACACCTGGAGGAATTTTTCAGCTTTCCCCCTTAAACACTAAATGACCAAGTCGCACAGGAACAGTTTCTGACTTTTCAAGGCCTCAGTGGTTTGGGACTAGATTACTGACTCCCATACAAGCCCTCCAGTGAGTTGATGCTCAGGATACCTTCTCTGGAGGAGACCAGCCAGCCGGCCACTAGAGGTACAGCCTCCAGCGCCGCAGATCTCCTCATATGCCTCATTTGGGGGACAGGTGAAGAGGCATTTGAAGATGAAATGTAGAGTATTTTAAGGATCCACTCTAGAATTCAGCTGAAATTGCTAAACGTATTGATCTAATTCAGCCAAGAATGAATGGAGAACCTGTAGGATCTTTTCAGCAGCTATCCAGCTACTTGTTATAATATGGACATAAATTATTTTAGATTTTGTGTCCATTCGTTGTGGAGTGACTTTTCTTTGTGATCTGTGCTACTTTTTAATTGAAAGTGTTGAATTATGCTGAATATTGTCATTTTAATTTCCTTAAATTTTTCCTTAGAAAAGAATATCAAGGAAGGAAAAGTCTTTCTGCTGCTTGATCTATCTCAGGGGTGTCAAACTCATTTGTTAGGAGGGATGCATCTGACATAAATTAGACTTTGTTGGGCTGGGCCATGCGTGTCATAAAATGTAATGCCAGGTAGCGGAGATATAAACTTTATAAAGGACACAAACACAAAGGGGTTTTTTTCTTAAAATAAAATCATGCTTAAAACATTAGCACTCTTGAAATATTTTGTTTATTTAACAGTGTCTGATAACTGACACCTCTTGCTCTGAATTATTGCACCAAAATGTCTGTGCTTTTGCAATCTTGAGTATGCTGTTCAGATATATCTGTAAACTGCAAACCTATGATGATGCAGCAGCAGCAGAACTGGAAGAAGAAGCAGAAGACAGCCAGTTCCACTGCGGGCGTGATAGAAGTCCTCTGGGGGCCTAATCTGGCCCCCGGGCCGCATGTTTGACACCCCTGATATATCTGATGATAAAGATTGTATGATGCAGTAATCTTGGCTTTACTTGTTATTCTTTTAATCTCGTAGATGTGAACCGCCCTGAAAACTTTTAAAGCTGTAAAGCAGTATATAAATATCGCAAAATATGAGATAGAAGACTGTTTTCAAAATCTGAGGGGATGCTACTGCTTGAGAGAAGCAAGCCCGAAGCAGCCACAGGTATGCAGGAATTAGGGCTGTGGCCCTTTGGATAGCGGCCAGAGTATTTCATTCCCTCCGTGTCCCACTCCCATCATCCTTTGCCAGCAGTGTTCTCCCCTGCTGCACACACTTCTGGCAATCAAATGCAAGTGCTCAAGAACTGCAGGCTGTCAGACTTGAGTAAAATTGCTGTGAATAGCTGTGGTTTTTTATTTTGCCATTCGCAAGTATATTTTTTATTTTCTTAGTCAGTTTTCAGACATGATGTCATCAACTGAACTTCCTATATTTTGGTGTTTGGTGGTTGCCGGGTTTTGTCAAACACTTTGATAGACTTCTGCAGACTTAAGGGATGCAGCAGCAGCTATTTTGGATGCAGCTGCTGCTATTTTGACATGTTCCCTAAAACATTAAAGCTCACTACTCACATAATCCGGAAGCGGAGAACCATCTGAAGAGAGGGAACTTCTCAAGGACTGTGTGGCCTGCTCCAGAACTTTGTTGTGCTTCTTGGACAACAGTGAGAACAAACTGGGAAACAAGAAGAACAAAAGAAAAACATAAAAGTTTTAAAAAGCAAGAATTCAAAAAGGTTTCCTGTTCCGATGAAGCTACATTGTCAGTCGAGCTCTTCAAATTTGTAATCCCACACAGGAAACAACGTTCATCTAAAAAGGCACTTTTTGGAAAATGGAATTCTGCAAGCAGGTTCATTTTGACAACAGAACTTTTTTGAAACCGTTAGCAAAGCTGACATTTTGTTTTCACAACCCAAAAGAGTAACTACTAACTACTAAGAGCTGGCACAGATGTAACATAAAGTTGTCTCTTAACCAGAGTTAACGGCTCAGTCTGCGGGATTCTCTCCCCCTCTCGCATGAAATTCACACCACCCCTTTGACCACATGCTGGCTTAATGCCAATCAATGTTAACCATAATTGATGGAGAAGTGGGAGGGAGTAATCTGAACCTAGCATTTGGAGCCAGGATTAATGCTCATTCTTCTAATTAGGAGCTTCCCCACCACAGTTGAGAACCCCTCAGAAACCCTGCTGTTTGTGCCCCAACCTTCAGGGGTTAGTGGCCACCCAGGGCCGGCTCGCTCACTAGGCAAGCTAGCCTCTCACCTATAGCGCGGCCATCATGGGGGCGCCGGACTGAGCCACCCTCCCCCCCGCCAAAAGCTCCTGCCATGTACTGGCCACTGCCGGCTCTTCACTCCCCCAATTCCCAGCCCGGCCTCAGACCGCCCTGCCCCACCCCACCCTGGCGGGTGGGGGAGGCGGCTCCCTGGGAAGCCCTTGGTGGGGCAGAGGCTTCTGGCCCGCCTCCTCTTCTGGCCAGGTGGGACAAACGAAAGGCCCTGCGTCGTACCGCAGCAGCAATGGCGTGGCAGAAGTGGGGAAAAGAGATTCGATTTTGCTTCTCGCGGGTGCACCACCGAGCGCAGACGCCTCAGCCAAGCTGCACCATCAGCAAGTTCTGGAGAACATGGGATGGCAGGCTAGAAGGGGCAGAGAGCGGAGGGGAGGGAGCGCCAGGCCTGTCTCGGGACTCCCTGGATCTGCCTGGAGATCGTAAGTAGCCAGAGGGGGGAGAGGGGGGCATTTCTGTTGGGGGGGGGAGCAAGAAAGTCCCCCCCCTTTCCATGCGTCTTGCTTGGGCTCTGGGTAGGGCTCCTGCTTCGCAACGTGTCTGAGCAGGAGAAGGCAGCTTTCAAAACACACACACCCCCGCCGGGCGCACGCCATTGCTTCCCTCGGCTGTTGCTGTGCCTCAGTGCTGCGGAGAAGGGTCGGACCTGTTGGACGTTTGGAGGACCCAGAGCTCTCTGGTCAAGCCGGCTGGCCAAAATGGGCACCAAGTCCATAACCCCACCCCCGCACATCCCGCGCAACTCTCTTGAATGGGCTTTCTGTTCGTGCAACTTCATCTTCTTGGGCCTGATTCAATCATCAAAATGGAAAGGTGATTTGTTGGCTGAGATCTGTTATCTGAGCTTGAATATGTGGGTATATGTGGCGGGGGAGCGGGAATGCTTTTGTGAAGATTTTCGTTCCAGGCACACCTATTTTTATTGTCTTGTATGGAAGGATTAGAAACATGCACGGTAATATATGTTTTATGTGTTGGATTTTGGTGGGTAGGTGTATGCTTTTCATGCTCTTTTTCCTGTTAATGATTTGGAATTTCTTACTACTTCTGATATTTGAATTCAGGAGCATCCACCACCTCCCGAGGTAGTCTGTTGCACTCTGTGTGTGGCGCATGTGCTCAGCAGCTTCTCTCCAGGCCCTGCCTGGAGGTTGGCAACCCCATAATTGGGGGCATGGGGGGTACCACAAGGTGCCCTCGCCTAGAGTACAAAAAAACCTGGAGCCGGCCCTGTGGCCACCAGAGACCGGGCTTTTTCTGTGGTGGCACCTTCATGCTAGAACTCCTCCTCCCACTTTAAGGTAAAGGTTCCCTTGCTCGAAAGCCAGTCGAATCCGACTCTAGGGTTGCGGTGCTCATCTCCGTTTCAAAGCCGGAGAGCCAGCGCTGTCCGAAGACATTTCCGTGGTCATGTGGCCGGCACCAAGGCGGACAGAACGCTGTTACCTTCCCACCGAAGTGGTCCCTATTTATCTACTTGCAATTTCTTGCTTTCGAACTGCTAGGTTGGCAGGAGCTGGAACGAGAGACGGGAGCTCACTCCGTCATGCGGCACTCGTGTCTCGAACTGCTGAACTACTGACCTTCCACAGCCTGCAGTTCAGCGTCTGGCAATCATTTATTGTTGAGAATGGAAGCTAACCTAGTCATCTGTGTGCCCAGAATTGTGGGATATAAATATTTTAGTCAATAAATAAAGGACCACTGGTCCATAACTATTTGTATCTGTACTGACTCTAAGGGTTTTGTGACGAAAAAAGAAAACATGCCCTGCAGATTCTTTCAGTGGAAGAGAGCTGAACAACACATGCAGATGGGGCTTTTAGAAAGACCGCTTCCAGTTCATCTTCATGAATGTAACAGGATTGCATGGGTAGTGGATAATCCCTTAGTTACGTTTGACACCCAAAGTAAAAATAAGGATGTTTTAAGAAAGGTAGCATTGCAGCAACAGTTTCAAAGGTACAAGCACTCAGACATTATGTTCTCATCGGGGGGGGGGGGGACTAAAGTGCTTCCTGAAACATCCCCCCCCCATCCCCCATGGAAGTGGTCCATAGCGTTTCCCAAAATGTTCATGGTACAGCAGCACTGGAAGATATATACGAAACATACAGAGAGGTGTGTTTTTCTTCTTTTCCTTGCTACCTTAACTGGGAGACGTTTTAGCCCACCATGGTTAAAGATTTGGTAGGGTTACTAGGGGCTGCCTAAAGGTGCTTTTTGGGAGCTTGGCCGTTGCAGCTCTTATCGATTTTAAATATTTATATCCTGCCTGATTTCCTTGGACTGGGGCAGCTAACAACACTTGGCACGTCGCAAACAAACAAATGGACAACATAACCGTAAATCAGCAAGATAAAAAAACAGACAAGATAAAATCAGTAACAACCAGCTTCCCGAAAGAATTCAGCCTCCACCAAATGCTTTCTGGAATGCTGGAAGCGAAGGCGCCCTCTGCTCCCACTATGGTAAGCGATTCCAAAAGATGGGGCCCCAGGGCAGAAAAGCCCACGACCGGACTGTTACCAAACAGTCGGTCGGAGGGGGTCACCACCAGGAGAGGGCTGCCCAAAGAGCACAGGAGGGACGCAGAGATATAGTGGGAGATCCAGTGTGGTAAATACAAGAGCCCTAGGCTGTGCTGTCAACTACAGTAAGAGTTATCTAGAGCAATATTTGAGTCCAGGAGCATCCTGAAGGCCAACAAAATTTCCAAGGGTTATCAGATATTGAGAGTCAGAGCTCCCTTTGTCAGATACTAATAGGATGAAGGGCGCTTTGACTCTCGCAAACATATACCTGGGAAATCTTGCTGGCTCTTTAAGGTGCCAATGGACTTGAATCTTGCTTTTCTACTACAGACTTGCACAGCTACCCACCTGAACTGAAAAGTTATCTTGTTTACGGATACTATTTTATTTATTGTCACAACACTAGAGACCTCGATGAAAAAGAACTCAATAATATAATCACATCAATGTTTTAAAGAGGGTAATCTTTCGTCATATTGAACCGCCTGCAATTACGGACTGTGTTCTGAGGAAATCCATTAAAGGGACTCCATCCAAGGCACAGATCACACAAAGAGCAAGTGAAGTCATAAATCTTTGTCTGGACTGTACCACCTTAGATTTCGGATGAGGGATCTCTGCTTGCACAAAACCAACATGTCAGGTCCCTTCTCTCTTGAGGTAAGCAAGGATGGTCGTACCCTTGGGACAGCCTGGCAACTTGCCCAGGGTCCTGTGCTAGGACAGGTGCCTGAGGGTCAGCATTTGTGTGGGGAGTAATGGAAAATGGCAGTGGACAATAAAAGTAAAAGCACAAACCTTGTTGCTTTTTTAAAGGGGCATGTCTTGTAAACATTGGGTGTTTATTCTTGGTCAGAGTAGACTGGATGGGAATACAGTGGGTATCCATGACTTTTGTCCAGGGTAGGGTTGCCAGCCAGGCCCTGGCAACTGGATGGAGTATGGGGGGCGGGCAGGGACATGGGGGAGTGCTGTTGCCAATGGCACAACATCACTTCTGGGGAAAACCCAGAAATGACACCAACCCTCTCTAGGAATTGCCAGAAACTCTATGGTAAAACCACAGAGTTCCTGGCAATTCCTATAAAGGACTGATGTCACTTCCAGGTTTTCCCTGGAAGTGACATCATACTGTTAGGCCAAGAAGAAAATTTATCTACTCCCCCCACCACCACTCCAAGTGGCAGCTGGAAGAGCAGGCTGCCAGTGGGAGGTTAGGGTTGCCAGCCAGGCCCTGGCAACTGGCAACTGGATGGAGTATGGTGGGCGGGCAGGGACATGGGGGAGTGCTGTTGCCAATGGCATAACATCACTTCTGGGGAAAACCCAGAAACGACACCAACCCTCTCTAGGAATTGCCAGAAACTCTATGGTAAAACCACAGAGTTCCTGGCAATTCCTATAAAGGACTGATGTCACTTCCAGGTTTTCCCTGGAAGTGACATCATACTGTTAGGTCAAGGCCAATTTATCTACTCCCCACCACCACCACTCCAAGTGGCAGCTGGAAGAGCAGGCTGCCAGTGGGAGGTCCAGGGCCCCAGAATCACTAAGGCCACCCCTGAACACAGCAAGCACAATCATATCCACCATGATGGTGGCACCCATATATGGAGGATTCTCATAGACTGAACTGTGCCCTCTTTCCCCCAGCTTTCCACCATAAAACATACATGTGGATAGTGGAAGGGCATGTATTATATTATTTTACTCTGCCTATTCTCCACGGAGCTCAGTGTTAGAGCTAAGCTACATATTCTCCCCCCCCCCACAATTTATCCTTGTACCAACCCTGTGAACTTGTTAGGCCGAGAGAGAGCATGCATTACTCCATATCCCTC